CTGCTGGACACCTCTGCCAGAGCTGAGTGATAATGGGCAATGGGGATGTGCATCCTCAACAGTGAACACAGAGGCACTCACACATTGCATCTGCTGCAAACCCCTTTTTCCTTAAGCCAGACTAAAACCTCCTCAAACCTAAGCAGGGCTCTGACCTCAGAGATCTCCACCAGCGAGATGCAGGATGGAGCTCTGCAGTGCAAAGATAACTATAAACTATGCAAGAAGTAGCAGTTATTTATCCAATGACACTCCAAGGTGACTTCAGCATCTTCTGGGCTTCCTACACTTCTTGTATGTCTCTAAAGGTTTCAAAAGCTCCAGAGCTCTTTGTGGAACTCCTCACCCTTTCCCTCTACGCTAGTAGAAAGAACAGACCCTTTCACAGCAAAGGGACAGGAGATTTTCCCTGTGCACAGCTCCTAGAACACTCCCTTTGCCGGAGGTGTTTAAGAGGCTGGGAAGGGCCTTCCCTTGATCTCTGACCCAGCTGTGCCCATCTCACTCTTGACTGGTGATCAGAGGACTTGCAGTGATGAGATCTTCCCACATAACTGATCCCAGCCTCCCACTGTCTCCCTGAAACTTTCTTTGCATCAAAGTGCTTGGCCTCAGCCTGTTTTGCCAGCTGGGTGCCCAAAAAGAACCACTGAACACGAGGCCCCATCTTCCCTCTACTGTTCCCACCACTCTCATCAAACACACTCTGCACCACTCACTCCTACAAGCCTTGTGAGCACGATTGCTACTGTACTTGTACACGGCCACGTCCTTCTTGGGGCTGTGCTGGGGCAGGAGGCTGTGGGAGTACTGGTGCACCCCCAGCTCGTACAGGGAGGGGAAGTCCTTGCTGCAGAGGTGGCAGCGGTAACTCAGCTCCTCCTGGTGGCTCTTGATGTGCTCAAGGAAGGACTCCAGCTTCTGGAAGGTCTGAGCACAGGTCTTCACCACACATTTGTACACCTGGGAGAAGAAGGGAGAGCAACTGGAGTGACGCAGCATGGAAACAACAGGGAAGATCCTCTGCCAGCAGCCACTGGCCTTCCTTTGTGGAAATCACTGCTGCTGGGTCATTGACAGACAGGGACCACTGCCCCGTGACCCCCTGTGCTGGAGAACAAAGCAGCACTGTGGTTCCCAGAGCATCCCACCATGCCCACAGCCAGCTTAGTGCTCCGAGCACAGCAGTGAAACCCTGCCCTGCACTCCAGCAGGACACAATGTAGTGGCAAAACATCCCCTTCCTCTGCTGCTCTCCTCGGAGGAAGGGTCCCTAAAGAACAGTGCAGAGCAGCTCAGCATCAAACTGTGGCTGGGCAGCTCCAGAGGAAGACAACAGCAGGACCTGCTGGGAGTGGGATGTTCTGCAAACAGAGATTGTCAGGGCACTGCCCTACGGAAGGTGGGGGAAGGGGGTGCTGGTACCCACTGGAGCGGGTGAGACCACAACATGCAGCAGTGACTGTCCCACGACCCGAGAGCTGCCACCTGCACTGAAAGCTTTGATCTTTGCCTCTTTGCTGCTTCTCTGTGCACCCGAATCTGCTGGGCTGACTTCTCCCTCAGCAGGGTGGAGGCAGTGGAGCTTTCCAAAGCCACCCAGACATGCAGAGAGCTGAACTGGACGGGTAAGCACTGGCAGCTTTACAGAGCAGGAGGCTGAGGACAGGCCCTGGGTGTACTATATGAAGCCCACGCCAATCTTGCCACCAACACAGGGCTCCCTCTGTCCCTACCTGCTCATTCTTGTGCTGTGTCATGTGTGATTTGAGCTGGAAATAGGTGTTGAATTTGCTGGGGCAGAACTGGCACTGGTAAGAGCTGTCGATCAACACAACCTGCTTGGCCTCCAGTTTGCCCCCTTCGCTCTCATCCAGGCTCATGTCTTGGGGGGGTGGTGGAGGGTTCCTTGAGGGCTGAGTCAGACCTGCAGAAAGGGAGAGACAGTCACAGCACTGCTGAAAGCTGCTCTGCAAGCACCGTGCTGCTGAGACACACCAGGCCTGCCCCCGCTCCAGCTTCTTCCTGCCTTTCAAAGGCAGATGCTTTACATCAGACAAATCTCACTATCAGGGTGGGTTTAAATTTGTCTGCAGGTTATTAAGGGCTCTGACTACTCCATCTTCCTTTCCTTAACCCAATCTCTGCTGCCAGGGACTTTGCCCTGTGGAGCAGGCACCAGAACAGGCCAGCACTGAACCCTCACCTCTGATAGGAGGTCAGACCCAGCCAGTAGCTCCCAGTCTGCACAGAGCAGCTCCACTGAGGCCTTGCCCCAAACATGACATTGTCCCTCCTATCAGGACCAAGGGCACACGCACAGAAGGTATCCAGACCCCATCTGCACCAAGGAGCTCTTCTCTGCCTCAAGTGTTTTCAGCTGGCTGCTGGGCCCAGACCCAGCCCAGGCTTGACTTGCACACTGCAAAGCAGCCAGAGCACTGGGCTGTGCCAGACCACCAGCCTGTCTGGCCACTAGACCAGAGCTGTTGAGTGTGGCTGCAGCTGCGAGGCTGGGAAAAGGGGAAGACACCTCACCCTGTGTGTGTGCACAGTCTGGAGCCACCTGAACCCCGTGGCTGGGGGTGCAAAAGGATGCACCTGACAGCTGGAGTCGAGCAGATGTGACTCCCTTCTCTATGCGTGCTGGGAACCCCACAGGAGGGATGCAACCACCGCACACAGCTCCTGTGTCCCCTCCTCCCTCCCTGTGGGGAGGTGCAGGGATGTGCACATTCCTCCCCTCACTGCTGGGCCCCAAGCACATGCCATCCCCTGATCCAAACCTGTGTTCTCCTCATCCTCTGGCTGGTTGGGATTCAAGGCCATGACCTGCACTGTGATGGAGTTGCGGGAGATGGTGCAGCCCAGGCCCGGAGGCCACACTTTGTGGGTTTGCATGTGCTTCTTCACGTTGGACTTCTGGGCAAAGGCTCGGCCACACACGATGCACTGGAAGGGCTTCTCACCTGTGTGGCTGAAGGCAGAAGGCACCACATCAGCAACCAGCAGAGAGAGGGAGCACAGAATGTGCTGGGGTGGCTGCTGCAGGACTGCGCCAGGCACCTGGACCAGCCAGAGAGAGACCTGATGAACTGGAGTAGGTGGGTTGTGAGAGGCCTGGGGGAGCCAGCCTGGGGCACAGACACAACTCCTGCAGTCTGGGCATGGCAAGGGATCGAAGAAGTAGGGGAGGAAAAGAGCTGTGCAGCAACCTCAGGGCATGCGCTGCTGAGGTCTCCGCATGGACCCTGGGGACACCATCACTTTCTAACCCTCTTTTTCCCTGTCATCTCTCCCTCTTCTACACAAGCCTTTTCCATCTTGCAGCCCTCAGACCCTGTCCACAGAGAAAGGGCTTTCTACCCTGCCCTTCTGCTTCAGGAGGAAGGGAGGACTCCAACATATGGAGTATGTGAAGAAGTCCTGGTTGGGAATGGGAGCGAAACCACCACTTGTTCCTTCTCATCTGGCCTTAGCTCCACAGAGTCCACTGGGGAGAACTTTGAAGATTTCAACAGTTTCCTGACAGAGAAAAGATCTTATAAGCGTTCCCCCTACAGACACTGAGCTTGACTTATGGTCTGCTAACACCAGCAAACATGAAGGCTGCAGCTTGCTAAGGAGGGAGAGGAAAGGTCAGAAGCAAACAGTGGAAGAGCTGCTGCTCCACTGATCAGGTGACAACAGGTTTGGCTTTCAAAGTCTCATCGGGGAGGAAAACAAGTCTCCAGTCCCAGCCCATAATCCGCAAGAAGATCACATCCATGATGCAGCCTTCGCCCCAGGCACTGGGGAGGAGGAGTCCTGGAGTGAGGGGACGAAGGGTCACCCCCAGCACAGCACAGAGGCTGGGACATGACAACACAAGGACTGCACAGACTCCCCCAGCGGAATCCACCCCAGGTTCGTGGCACTGTTACCTCCTGATGTGCTGCTGCAGGTCGAAGTTCTTGGTAAAGGCCTTGTCACAGTAAGTGCATTTCAGCTTGGGGGACTTGGGCTTGCCTGGAGGAGCAAAAACACACACAGGAATGAGACCTCACAGCACAGCCCTGTCCCCCTGCGCCACAGGGCCCTCACCCCAAGACATGTCCACTCAGAACCAAGAATAAAGGGCTTATGGAAGGATAAGATCTGCCTGGCCAGACTGGGGAGAGGTTATGGGCACAAACATACACTGAAGGTAGCCTGAGCTAAGTCTAGAAGTGCTGAGGAGAGTAGCAGTCTCTCTCCTATGAACTTACCATCAGCCAGAGCACAGGTGAGACATGGTGCTCCAGACATGATCCAGAACATCAGTCACATCTTCTGTCTACTCTGACAGGGTACAAACCAATGCAACCAGCAGAACCAGGAGCTGCTCCAGGAATTTCTGGAGTGAGAGCTGCAACTGCATGATCAGTCACGCCTCTGCAAACAAGGTTAAACCCCAGCACGTGCATGGTTGTGTCTCCAGAGGCCCAGCCACTGGCTTTCCTCCACCTCATGCCTGGGACCTCCCTTGTCACTCACAGCTATGTGTGCATCACATCAGCAATGGTCAGGCTTGGCCAGGGAGGATCTGATACTCCTCCAGCCTGTGATGGGGCACATCCCATCCTGCCTGTCATGGGGACAGGCATGTTTTCCTCACAGGCACTGAAACACCCGGCAGGGACAGGTCTGCTGAGCCCTTGGGAATAGAGTCTTCAGGGCCAGGCCGCATCCAGCCCACCAGTATTGTGGCTGGGCAGTCTTCTGTGGGTTAAAATGGACCAAGCTCTAACACCTCACTTTGCAGGATGTCCCAATCTATGTAGCTGCAGAGATTCAGCACAAGCTTGCCCATGCAGGAGCACAGGGACAGTCCTTTCATGTGGGTTCAGATGTGACAGACAAGAAGCACGGCCACACTTTCACCTGCTCTCGACAGCTCCATGCAGGGCATCGTGCTCCTCCTCCAGAGCTGCACACACAGGCAGTGCCACCCCACAGGGCTAGGAGAGCCCGTGGCTCCATGGTGCACTGTGTGATAAGCAGGTTAGTGCAGGGCGGATGCTCTGAGGACACTCACCTTCCTGCAGCCCAACCTCACTTTTGCAGCGCCGACTTTTGGCAGCAGAGGTGGAATCAAACCCAACCATGCTGCCTCCTCCTGCACTGGCCAGAGGGGTGGGAGTGCTGGTGCTCTTGGGCTTGAACCCCTGCTTCCCAGGGCTGTACACAGGAGGAGAGGGGTACACGGGACTGTCCACACACTGGCTGGGTACCTGCAAGAGTGCAGTTTATCAGTGGAACCAGGTTTGCTGCAGGGACACTGCGCCCTAACCTCCATCTCCAGCAGCACTTGCCACACCAGGCTGAGCTCCTGCCAAACTGGATTCAGTTTCTGGTTCACCAGTCCAGCACTGTGTCTCTAACTAAAACTAACACCCTGCACAGTGTGACACTCTGCTGCTGACCATCACAAAGCATCCAGCAGGTGTTACAGGACAGCAAAGAAACACTCTGAAGGAGCCGTCCAGTCCCTCATTTAGGTGGAAGTTTCTTATCCTTCCAGAGCAGGTTACCAGAATGATCCCCACTGACCCAGTGGATTCACAGCAGCCCTGAAGGCAGGGAGGGATCTTCAGACCCTGCTGCCTGCCCTGCAGAAGGGAAGGAAAGCACAAGGAAATCTAATGTGGCAAAGCCCAGCTTTTACATCAGCACCCACGTTAGAAGAGGGCACACAGAGAAAAAGCAGCATCAGTCTGGGGTAAAATGGTTTAAGGGTGTTTCTGATGCCCACCCTGATAAACTCCACAGACCACTGAGTATCCAACATCCCCCGTCCATTTCTGACCACTGGTACTTCCACATCAGATGCCAGCTACAAAGATAAAGCTGACAAACCTCTGTCACACGCAGTGCCTCCTGTTGTGAATGGCAGTGCTAACCTGGAGGCTGTGAGCAGCTGATCCACTGGTAAATCCACCCCTGCCCGTGCCTCTCTTTAGGAAAAGCTGCCTTCTCAAGTTCATTGCTATGTTTTTCTCTCCACTTCAGCCTGCAGCGCACAGTGGGTGCTCTGCACTCCCTGGGAGGGGAGCTCCTTGTCACTCCCAACACCTGCAGGTATCTCTCGAGCACAGCAGACATTCAGGTCTCCTAAACCTGTGCCAGCCAAGTCCTCCATCCCTCTTAACTGCCTCTCTTGTTCTGAGAGTCCCCATCATAGCATCCTCAGAGCAGCCTTCCAATATCTGAAGGGGGCCTACAAGGATGTCAGAGAGAGACTCTTCATCAGGGACTGTAGTGGTAGGACAAGGGGTGATGGGTTTAAACCGAAACAGGGGAAGTTCAGGTTAGATATAAGGCAGAAGCTCTCCCCTGTGAGGGTGCTGAGGCACTGGCACAGGGTGCCCAGAGAAGCTGTGGCTGCCC